AGAAATTTCCGAGTAACAAATATCCGCATCTTGGGGCCTCACTAATTACACAGATGCTTACTCTTGACTTCAAGTATGTTGTAATGAAGGTGCGGAGACTTGCACTGTTTGTACAAACATTTCTTGAACTCCAGATCACAGATATCCTTGTCAGTTCCACATGTGTCATAACAAATATCATGAGAGTTGCAGCAGGGATCAAAATTCACACCGGTAATCCCGACATCTTGAAGCTAGAACATTTCAAGAAATCAAAAATTTTCAATAAGTACAATACCGAGTTCAAGCTGTTGAAGAGTGAAACTGTTCGTTTCACAGAATTAAAAACAGTAACTCGATTCACAATACGCAAAAAACGACATCGAACAAGGTGGTACAGAAAACGCTAAATTTTCCGATGATAATAGCAAATTAAGTTGACTGGAATCAGGAACTGCAAAATAAAGGCTTGTTTTAATTTTCGATCAAATGAAATTACACTCAGAAGAGTTAATATCACTATTAAAGTACAGTCAAACCCCGATTGAGTGCCAAAGTTTGTCCTGGCACATTTTGTGGCACTAATCAAGAATGGCACTAAAACGAGGGAATTGTATGATAGAGAGGTCTAGTTCAGGGTTTCCATTAGAAAGGAAACAAACATGTTTGCAGAATTCGTAGGCCATCAGCAGGGTGTTTTCAAAGAGAAAAAGCCAAAATAAAGGATTTAAAGCTCACAGGTAATTTTTTTATAATTAATTCTTCTGTTATGTGTATCAATGCTGAATGTACTGTACTGTAATAGATTTTTAAACACACGATATCTACTAAAAGATAACAGCTGTTTCTCAAGATTTTGCGTGCATTCAAGTTAGTTTTATTCGAAGTGCCATCATGAATGAATCACCAGTTTCCACAGAAGCTTGATATTTTCAATGAAGGAGGGGATCATGCAACAAGTAATATTTTTCAATAACGTAAATTCAAAAATAGATCTTTCACACGTATCCTCGGTTTCATGTAAGTATGGGGATGAGATTCTGAGTTAAAATTCTTATAATCCAATGATATCTGTGTAAAATTGTCTGGATTACTTCGAATTCTGCCTTTTTTGTAAACATGAAAACAACTTTTTGTGGCATTAAATCATGGTTTTCCTTAAAAACATAATGGAGGGAGATTTTCACCAGAGATATTTGTGGCGCTAAATTGGGAAGCACTAAATCGAGGGTTGATTGTATTTTAAAGAAGATTTTCACCAGAGCTGTTGAACAAACTTTCTTAATCGTCAATCAAATGCCAAAAAATTGTCTCAGACTTGCCTACAAAATTTACGTTTTTGAGACCCCAAAAAAAATACAGGTACAAAATGTGTCATGAAAGAATAAGCTTTTCTCAGCCAAATTTTAAAATCACGCTCGAGAGAGTACCGTATATCTGAATGAGAAGCCAATCAAGTAGTGTTCACACTCTTGAGCCCGACTCGAAAAATTGAAAGAAAAACAGGTGTCCCAAGGTTCCCCACCTGCAACCCGTACGAGCCGCACCCATTTGCCGTCGCCACATGGTCTCTTCTTGGCAATGGTTCAAACCCCGACGGACACGAATATTCGCAGTCCTCCTCGACGGCGTCGTTGATGATGGTGCCGACGTCCACAACAGTCCGCGCCACAGTCGCGATCCCTTCGCCCAAAGAGAACAGCCCCTCTTTCCAACCGTCGAACATTTCTCCGTTTATCAAACAAGCTTCAAAAAGAATCAACAACATCCACAGGTAGCAACGCCGCGAATCCATCTCTGCGTTTGCTTCGTCAACAAACGCAGAGTTCTCCTGGAAAATAGAGGGTCATAGAAGACTACAATATTTTTTTCAACCAGTTGCTGAACAACAGATGGGAGCCGATCTGGTGTGATTTCCACTGCAGAACTTTTGACCTGATGTAGACTTTTCTAGCAGCCAAAAAAAATGACTAAGGATATGCAAGAGAGAATAAAAAGCTCGATTGATGAGACTACGGAAATTGACTTCAGGAGTTTTCAAGTTAGGAAACCAGCACTTTTGCATTGCATGAATTTCATTTTCCTTAAATCGAAGCAGACGCGCATTGGAAAGTTTAACTTCTACAAAAATCCGGTTTCAAAACATGTTGAAAATACGGCAAAAAAACTACACTAAATTCTACGGCGAGAATAGCATTACTTTACAAGTTTACATTCATTCCCTGAATATCATCAGGAAGTCGTATCTATGCAGTTTTTTTCGTTTTTGTGGACCGACATGCTGCAGTGTGGGTAAATGAACTTCCCAATGAAACACAAGACCGGCACCCGCAAATAAAAATGTTCACAATCAATGAAAAAAGCTTTTGAAATGCTGAAATTTTCTTTTACCAAAATATATTAAACGCGACGGAGGTGGGAAATTGAACATCACTTGCAGCCTACTCCAGTTTCCGACACGAAGCTCACTGAACATCTGAGTAATGCGCGTTGTAATTTAGCCTGTGAGAAAGATTGACAAAAAATTAATTTGCAATTCTCTAGCCAAGCGAGAAAATTCGAACGCACCTTCGCAGCATGTT